ACTAGTCGAGCCGTCTATAAAAAATAGTATATAATTTAAAAAGAGAAACCCCGTTAATTAAACGATTTAATATTAAAAATTATTATAAATTCGCTACTATTTAAAATATTATTAAAATAAATAAATAATAATCCCCTCAAAATTAGCAATAGCTATTTAAATAATCTTAAAATTAATAGTAAACCGCGTAATAACTGATTTTTAATTAACTTACCAAGTAAACGAAAAAGATAATTAATAACAAGGAAACTCTGGCCGCCTTTAAAATATTAATCGCCTTAATAAAAAAGCGAATACAAGCGGTAAAATAGTGTACTTAGTTAATAGAGACTACAATATAGCAAATAGTAGACTTTATTATTAAGTAAGCCGTAGAAAAGATAGCTCAGCGTATTATTAAAAAGGCTATACGACGAGTAATTAATCGAATTGTTTCGTTTACTATTTAGTAAAGTTCTCTATTAATAAATACTTTCAGTAGCTATACTCTAATAAATAGAATACCTATAATAAAAGAAATCGGAATAACTAGAGAAATTCTACCGTGAAAAGATAATTATCTTTACTAAAAGATTTCTAATCTTAAGTAGATCTCGAAATATAACAACTGTTTTAAGAATAAGATAGTAAATAAATAGCTGCGATAGGTTAATTAGTACTTCGAAGATAAATAAATCTTTGTATAGAAAAAAATCTCCGAACCCGAGAAAATAATTATTATTAAATGGAAATTTACTAAAGTAGCTCGAGAACGCTGGGAAGCGAAGGAGCGGTATATCTCAGTAGGAGATAATAGCTCTATCACTACCCTCGAAGAACTGAAGAAGTGGGTCCGCGATAACTTTAGCGAATATCGCGGCAAGACTTACTCCGCTCCAGGGCAGAAACCACATCCTTACGGTTGGATTCTACGGGGAGAAGAGACTCCTTAGGAGGATGGTCGACGTCGATGCGGGCGAGAGGTCTCGCAGGTTCTTTTCCCTTTAACGTAGTAGAGGCCATGGCAGTAAAATTAAAGATATCAAAGAAATAATTACTAAGCGTCCAGTCGCGATACTTATACACTGTAGGAAAATTGAAATATCTATAATAAAAAAAAGCTAGTAAATACATTAGTATAGCAACGCGTTAATAAAAAAAAGCGAAACAAAAAAGTAAAAAAGAGGTAATAGTAAATAGTAACAGTTAATAGTTAACTCTAATAACGGAAGCCCTAGCAACACTGCTATTAATAATAATAATTTATAAATAATATAATACTAC